TATTGACAGTGGGGTTGAACCCCATGCTACAGCAGGAATCATTTAAGCAATCTGTTCGCCAGACATGTGCAGCGGATTTAGTTAGCTATGTTTTATCATCATAACCATAACAGGGGGTCCGCGGGGTCTTAAAAAGTATTAAAAGTTGATAAATCAATTTAGCGAAAATTAAGGCTATTAAAAGTATTAAACGGCATTTTCCAAAGGTATTACATTTTGTAGTTTGTTTTCAATAAGTATATGAATTGTCCAAAGAGGTTGTATTCTACAGTGTGCCTGAATGTAATCATTGCGTAGTTGTGTAGTGTGATTCTGTGTAGTTTATTGATGGCATCCCGTTGGGTTTCACGTCATCTGAACAGGACATCGCGCGCTCACTGCTTGATAGCGCGCGAAGGTCCGTTTACGCCGGTTGTTAAACAGCATCGTTATGGGGAAATGCAAGTCTGCGTCCAAATGGTTGGAAGATAAGGAGGAAGGACAATCAATACTGTATATAGTCAATGTGAGGTAAAGTGTGTCGCCAAGGTAACCGGTTAAAACTCCAATTGGCGATGAGGTCTTAAAATGTATGGAAAGGGTCTTAAAAAAGGTCTTAAAAGGTATTACATCTGACTTCAGGATTCCTGCATATACCCTGCATAAAGATTTAGTTAATTGCTATAGATCCACACCCTCCTGCTCCTCATAGAGTAGAATGATGTAGGCTAATTCTATAAAATATATATATGTATTTTAAGTCAACTCCAGATGCACCAAATATTCAGAACTCTGCAACTCTTCTGTTAACCAGGTGGGCTAATTGATTAATCTAACTTGATCATAAGTTAAAAGCATGTTGTCAATTGTTTATTATTAGCATAGGTAACCCAGCCAAAACCCCATATGTGAGTGTTGTGCCATGGGCAAATATTCTTGAATATACCCAAGTATTGGAAATATGCTACCAAAAAAGTATAAAATGGAATTGGAATCTAGGTAGAGTTAGCAAACACTTTAACAAAGCTAATTTGAGTGTCAGTACCGGTGTAATAGGAACATCAAAATAAGTCTAAGACTAGTATGTAAGCCATTCAGAAACCTAACATACGTAATGTACTCCTCCAAGAATTGTTATAGTCTTAATTGGGATCATTGGACCAATGGTATGTCTTTAGCCAACAAATGTAAAAATACAATCATCACAATAACTCTTAAAATAAATCAAAATGAACACGTTCTTTCTTTGTACAAAAGATGTGTGGACTGCTAGAGAAAGCTAGAATCTTTCCTATGTGTTCCAGGAAATGTGGAAATGTTTCTGCCGTTCCATGTACAGCATTCAGGGGATCTCCCAAATTATCCTTTAGTTATGTTTAGAGAACAGTGCTGGTTTTGGATGAATATTAAAAATCATATGTTATTTATATTGCTTGTTTCCAGAATGCAATCAGTTAACAAGACTTCAGGCTCACTTGAGCCTGTCTCACTCAGGTACATCAGTGGAGGCAGAGAATGAAGGCAAATGAGTAAGACAGTGACTCATACGGATTCAATTGGAAGCCCTGAAATAAAAACTCTGTGAAATGTTGTTTTTAACTTGTTCAATTTTTTTCATATCTGAATAGTGAAAGAGTAATAGCTAGAGAGAGAGTGATCTCTTTCAGAGAGAGAATTAGATAGAGAAAGACACCAAATCTCTGCGTATGACCATTTGGGCATAACGCTAAAATTAATGCATACTCATAAACAGTATATCTAAAATGTGTCTACACCTTATTTTGAGCTAACCAGTATTCACCCTTGGGTTAGGGTTAGGGTTAGGGTACACAGTCACATCTTTGATGATACTCAATCACAAACCATGAATTGCCAATTTCATCTCCGAATAATAAACATTGCAACTCTTGCCTTTTTCCACCAATTACTTATAACTAGGGCTGTCAGTAGATTAAAATATTTAATCGCGATTGTTTGTAATATACATGGATCGGATTTCGAGGCGTAGTCATGGGGGAGGGGGTCTGCAGTTCGGTGGACTAAGGATTGCACCACTGCTTTTTGCAGATGATGTGGTTCTAATGGCTTCATCGGTCTGCGACCTTCAGCACTCACTGGATCGGTTCGCAACCGAGTGTGAAGCGGCTGGGATGAGGATCAGCACCTCCAAATCTGAGGCCATGGTTCTCAGCAGGAAACCGATGGACTGTCCACTCCAAGTAGGGAATGAGTCCTTACCCCAAGTGAAGGAGTTCAAGTATCTCGGGGTCTTGTTCTCGAGTGAGGGAACAATGGAGCATGAGATGGGCCGGAGAATCGGAGCAGCGGGAGCGGTACTGCAGTCGCTTTACCGCACCGTTGTGACGAAAAGGGAGCTGAGCCAGAAGGCAAAGCTCTCTGTCTTCCGGGCCATTTTCGTTCCTACCCTCACCTATGGTCATGAAGGATGGGTCATGACCGAAAGAACGAGATCGCGGATACAAGCGGCCGAGATGGGTTTTCTCCGCAGGGTGGCTGGTGTCTCCCTTAGGGATAAGGTGAGAAGTTCGGTCATCAGGGAGGGACTCGGAGTTGAGCCGCTCCTCCTTCGCGTCGAAAGGAGCCAGTTGAGGTGGTTCGGGCACCTAGTTAGGATGCCACCTGGGCGCCTCCCTAGGGAGGTGTTCCAGGCACGTCCAGCTGGGAAGAGACCAAGGGGTAGACCTAGGACCAGGTGGAGGGATTATATCTCTTCGCTGGCCTGGGAGCGCCTTGGGATCCCCCAGTCAGAGCTGGTTGATGTCGCCAGGGAAAAGAAAGTTTGGGGCTCTCTGCTGGAACTGCTACCCCCGCGACCCGACCACGGATAAGCGGGAGAAGATGGATGGATGGATGGATTAATCGCGTGATTGTCCATAGTTAATCGCGATTAATCGCAAATTAATCGCACATTTTTTATCTGTTCTAAATGTACCTTAGAGGAATATTTTTCAAGTTTTTAATACTCTTATCAACATATGAGTGGACAAATATGCTTTATGCTAATGTTTATTATCATTTGAACAATGACAAATATTCTCATGAATATTAAACACAACAACCTCTGAACATTACAAATATTCGCCTCAATTCAACCTGGAACCTCTCTCATACAATAGTGTGTGGTGTGTGTGTGTGTGTGTGTGTGTGTGTGTGTGTGTGTGTGTGTGTGTGTGTGTGTGTGTGTGTGTGTGTGTGTGTGTGTGTGTGTGTGTGGTGTGTGTGTTGTGTGTGTGTGGTGTGTGTGTGTGTGTTGTGTGTGTGTGTGTGTGTGTGGTTGTGTGTGTGTGTGTGTGTGTGTGTGTGTGTGTGTGTGTGTGTGTGTGTGTGTGCGACTCAGGTTCTGGTCCAGGCTCTCGTCATCTCACGCCTAGACTACTGCAACTCCCTCCTGGCTGGTCTACCTGCATGTGCCATCCGACCTCTGCAGCTCATCCAGAATGCAGCGGCTCGTCTGGTTTTCAACCTTCCTAAATTCTCCCACACCACTCCGCTCCTCCGCTCCCTTCACTGGCTTCCGGTAACTGCTAGAATCCACTTCAAGACACTGGTACTTGCTTACCGTGCTGCGAATGGATTTGGCCCTTCGTACATCCAGGACATGGTTAAACCGTACACCCCAGCGCGTGCACTACGCTCTGCATCAGCCAAACGACTCGTTGCGCCCTCGCTGCGAGGGGGACCCAAGTTCCCATCGGCGAAAACACGTGGGTTTGCTATCCTGGCTCCAAGATGGTGGAATGAGCTCCCCATTGACATCAGGACGGCAGATAGCTTGCACATCTTCCGGCGCAAACTGAAAACTCATCTCTTTCGACTCCACTTCGAGCGTTAGAACGATTAACGAAGCACTTTTATACCAATAAAGGACTGGATTACCTAAAGCCAGTTGAGTAGCACTTGAAATGTTTGGCTCTATGAAACCTGATATACTTATATGATTCTGTTTTCTTCAAGGTTGTGTCTTCCTGGTCGAATGTACTTATTGTAAGTCGCTTTGGACAAAAGCGTCAGCTAAATGCAATGTAATGTAATGTAATGTGTGTGTGTGTGCACACTAAAAAATGCTGGGTTAAAAACAACCCAATTTGGGTCGTTTTTTAACCCAACGCCAGGATCAATATTGGACCAACCCAGCAGTAGTTAATTTGACCCAACGAAATGGGTTGCGTATTTTAACCCAGCAGATGGGTTATACATTTAATCCAAATGCTGGGTCAAATTAATTACAGCCCTGGGTTAATTCTACCATGAATTGGGTTAAATATTACACCCAAATGCTGGGTCATAATAGCTGCGATGGGTTAATTCTACAAGTTATTATCGTCATGTTTTTAATGCAATACCCATGTCTCTTAAACATTTAAATTACAAACCCTTTTAAAATGCATCCTATATTTGGTCATGCAAATAATATAATATGCAATAAACGCTTTTAAACAATGTTGGAATCTTAGAAAAATATTCATTTTATTGTTATAACAATTGACAGTTCAATAAAGTGCAAACATATTCAGTTCACAATAAAGTGCAAAACTTTCTTTAAACAAAACTTAACATTTATGCATGTACAGTACAGCCTGTAAACAACACACATTAGCAGATCTACAAGCTCTGGTTTGAGAACCACTAATAGCAACATACGTTTTTTCAGAAATGACTGGTTCATATACTGGCTATGTAAACGTTACAAAGAAAATCCTCCAACATGATCACAACAATGTACTGCTCCTTTAGGTGATCCGAACTACAGGAAACTAAGATGTGCAAATAAACATTTTAACAATTTATGCTTCCACCATTTAGCTCTTTTTTTAGCACACAACTTGCTCATAAAATACTTTGAGCATTAGGTAGTATTTTGAACATAACACACACACACTTCACAAATCCAGCAATATTTAATTTAACCAGATAGAACCCTACTCTGAGCCAAGCAGCAGAAGAGAGAGAATAGAACAGGAGGACCAGCAGAAGAAAATAAAAGGATCAAGACCACAAGTCTACTTGCAAGCAAGTATTGCTGCACGCAAGGACGTAGCAGGTTTTGACTCCTCTCCTCCCTTGATTTCGTACACTGCATTTTGGAGGAATTTCCATACAGCTTCACACTGCTTTGTGTAGTCGATGTCAAAGATATAGAATACCTTGAAACAGACATCTACTGCCTGAAGCAATGTGTTTTGTTCCAACGCCTCCCCATCAAGAATAACGAACGCCTGAGAGGTGTGCCAAATATCGTTTCCCAGGGACAGGACATATGGGTAAGGTCTTGACACCTTCGCCTCATGGAGGTACTCCACCAAGTTTGTTCCAACCTGAGAAAGAAATAAAGAACAAAAGACAAGATAAATTAAACAAAGTAAAAGATTGTGCAAAAGCAAAGAGTAAGCAAGATTTGGCAGTGGCTGATACAATGCATATTCAGAAACAATGTTTTGAATTATTCTTGAGCCCAGGAATAACAGGCAGTCAGGCACATTCTTAACCACTTAAACTGGACCTGGGTTGGCTCTGTACTTTAGACCACTGTTTTCCATCTTCACCAAATCTCTTCGCCAAAAATAGCCGATCTAGCTGCTATGTTTGGCTAATGTCCCCGCCACCCCCCCAAGAATATGGATGCTGGGTTCAAGTGATTAAAAGAATAACATTTCCCTTTAGATATGCAGAGGGACTTACAGGCTTATGATCGATGAAGGCCAACTTAGACTCCTCGATAGTGTACCGGAACACTTTTCGGCCAACCCTGTAGACAGTTGGTGGAAGCAGTGTTGGTAACTGGCTCAGAGCAAGTTCCCCCAAACAATCTGTAGGAAGACAATTTTATAGGTATCAATATGTGGCATGGCATATCTGTGAATTGGTCATTTAGTAGCAAAATAAAGTCTGCTGTACAATATAACAATGTATTACCGGGTGTTAATCCATCAAGCGACGAGATAAGTTTCCCTTCCCGTCTCGCCAGGTGCAGGATCTTGTCTTTAAACAAAGGTAGCCAGGTTTCGAAGAGCTTAGGCGCAGCCTCTCCATGTAGGATCTGAAAGTCCTGTGCAATCTAAATGAAAAATTGAAAAAGAAAATTCAATGTGGCAGCTGACATACTGATAAAAGATTGTTATAAACAATGCATCCACATCATATGTAAACATATACTCCTTCCTAACTTACCATGCCTGGAGTGAATAGATGTGGGAACTCTTGGCGGATCCCTTGAATGTCCCACCCGTTATCCTTAAAGACTTGGCCCTGTTTGATAGTTTGCAGAAAGTACAGCAGTACAAGAATGTTAAAAGGATATCACAAAAAGCCCTAAGGGCAGTTGCAGACAGGTGCTCTTTTATGGCAGCAGTTGCAGACAGGTGCTCTTGTATGGCAGTTTTGGAGGGTAAGGAGTTGCACTTTCTTGATGGCTGGTGGTAGGGTGTTCCACATTTTGGTAGCATAATAGTAAAATGCATTCATCCCCATGTTTGTGCCGATTATGGGGGGGGGGGGGGAGAGAGTAATGGAGCTCCCACTGGTGTTGTGCCCTTTTATTTTGACAGGTACATGGCACTGGTCCCTTGAAAACCAGGCCCATTGCAAGTTGCTGTACTCTGTCCTCCCCTGAGCCATCCCACTATAGCATCATAATGAGCAGGGGTTAGGTCATAGGTGTGAGAGGTCTAGTAGTAGTTTGTTTTGAGAAGTCTGTAGTTCAGATTTGAATGACTTGAGGTGCTACAGTACCATGAGGTGCATGCATAGGCAAAATGACATTGAATGAGTGCTGCAGCTAGTGTCCTCAGTGCATTCCTACTGACCTGTACACTGCTGTATCCTGCATGTATTGCTCCACCTGGTTGAGGGGCTGCGAATTGTGTTTCAGCCATTCTTTACACTGTATGGCTCTTTCTTCCGATATGGTACATTCTATAAAAGTACACATAAGGATATTAACAATCTCAAATTATATGTCTGTATTGCTTAAACAAATTATTCAGTTCCAACGATTACCTGGTATGAATGTCCTACGAGTGCCAGCTTCACTACTTTGTGGTGGTGTCTGCTGCGTGCTCTGTGACCTGGCCGGTTTTCTCATCCTCTTTCTGACGTTCCGAAGCCTCTCTTCGAGGAATCCAGTGGCTGGGCGGCGGTTCCGTCCTGGGGTGAACCAGTATCCCTGTCAAGAAATGAAAGTCTTTGGTGAAGGCACATTTTGATAGCGTGGCGACAACATGTGGCTGAGCCATCTAGAACAGGGTTTGTCTGTATGTCTGTCTGACAACACCGGGCATCAAACAGCACAGAAGTCCAGTACTCTGGTGCTGGGAGATGAGTTATATTGTGTTCAACTGACTGTTTTAGCATCAATTCCTCAATAAAATGTTAATTACTTACGAAGCCACTGCTTGAGTCCGACTCGTCCTTCAAGGAGGGAAACCCATGAATCAAAGCTGCAGCCAAGGCCTTTTTTGTCTCACTGGTAGGACTGCAAACACAGAAAAACTAAATTACCAGCAGAGTCAAATTAGATCTTAAGTATTTCTAAAACATGTGTTGCACCCCAGTATAATGGCTGTAGCATATTCTGCAGCTAATAGGCATCCTAATAAATTAAAAACACTACTGAACGTGTGTTTTGGTACATGTGTTGTGCATGTTTATGTTGGTGGTCTAGGTAAAGGTCAGACTTGAAAGTAGTGTCCCGTCTTATTCTTTTCCCCTGAAAGAAGATTCATATACCTTTTTCAAACTAACATAACATTCACTAAAAACAAGAAAAAAAACCGACTATTTTTAATTACCTCTCTCCAAACTTCTCCATGAGGTGAGACACCAAAATACGGACAAGGCACTTTCTTTGCGAAGGGATGATCACATCCTCATCAAGGCTCCCCAGGATCAGCTTGCCTTCAGTTGAGCCTGTGAGAATCTGGCGGATATCCTGAGAAAATTGCAAGAAGGGACAACATCACAGATATCGTTTATTACTCTTTAGTGTTGATTAAAGAAAAAAGTGAAACCCAAGTCTTAAAAAGTGGAGCTTACAAATTGTGGAATTATATGTAGTGTTTGAGGTATCATCGCTGGTACGACAGGTGCCGTTTGGTCCTCCATGGAGGGTGGAGTTGTGGCAGTTGGTTGGACATCAGGACTTGTAGGTGGCACAGCAGGTTCAATCTAAACAGAACCCAGGTTAATGTAACAAACAGTGACAGCCACCTAGAATTGCCGGATGAGCATCAGTAATGTAAATCAGTGTACCACACCAGCGGACTCAGAAGACTGCACACAGTATGCATGGTGTGAGAGATATGCACCACGCCAAAGTTTTGATAAATTCAGAGACCTGTGTAAAGTATGGTTTATATTGACCCCTAAGCAGACACAAAACCACTCAGAAACCCTTCACCCGAGTGAATGAAAAATGCGACAAGTTTGGACCATGCAGATCTGCGGCAAATTGAAAAAGATATAAAACAAACATGTAACTTCTTAACTGACAGTGACTACTACTGTACATCGTCACCGTCGGGTGGAAACCGTGTATGTCCAAAATTGTTCCTTTTATAATTTTTAACATTTAAAAATTGTGAAATAGCCAATCGACAAGCTCTTGACATTGGGAGCTTGTAGATCTATTTGAACTACTTTTGTACAACACTATGACGAATTAGTACATTTACAAATATAAAAAACATAGTTTAAATATGGAGACACAAGGTTTCTGCCCAACAGCAACGATATGTAGACAGATTAAACAAAAAATACTTACTGTACAATTTATCACATCCATCCCAGTATTTACAGAAACATCCCAGTACTCCATCGCATGATCATCCCTGTAGTCCAAAGGCACCTTTTAAGCAGCATTTATAGCTAACCACTAAACAAATATGGCAGGAAAAAATGGACTTGACGAGTAAAAATGCTATTTACAAAGTGTCATACCTACTGTACACACACCTGGTGGCAGTAAGCTGATTTTCTAAAAAAGTCTATAGCGCAGTGAAATGTATAAACTGTCATCAGTCTCGCTGAATGACTTCACTGCATGTAGGGGATGGTGATCAAGCAGCTCTCTCACATCAACAGCTGCCAAAACTTGAGTGGGAATCACACTGTATGCAAAGAAATGCCTATCAAACCATTGTGTTTCCCACTTCTGTACAACAAGTTTTATTGTTGGTGTGTGTGATGTTTGGTCTAGTACTAAAATGGACTTTATGAGACCAAATTGGGGCTCCCCATCTGGGTCATAAGACAGGAATACAGTCATGCCTGCTCGATATGCAGTTCCCTTAAAGGTAACCAAGGCTGGTTCATACAATTCACTGAAAAGGGGAATGCCTGTTAGACCACTTTCGATGTCTTTAACTCCCTCAATGTTGGCCAGAAAGGTAGTGTGCCCTAGACCAACTTCTGTATTGTGGCTCAACACAGTTCCACACAGCAAATTATAGCACTGCGCTATCTGATGGCGAAAGGCCATGGTTTTGCAAATGTTTCGGAAGTTGCATGTTACATGGCTAACCCGTTTAAAAAAGTTGTGTTTCGCTTCGAATCTCATAGCCCAAAACTGAGTCAAGGGTCCGAGCTTTTGAATGGCTCTTGGGTAATGGAGCATGAAGTGGTGTTTTGGCAGCAAATGGTGAAGAGGATAGAGCTGCAGGAAGAGAGAGTGATGCTCTTCAAGGATTTTAGCTAAGTACAGTGTTGCTTCAACAGTAAGAGAAGGAGAGAAGATGAACTCCATACATAACAGTAACAGTAGGAGAAGTTTCCATTCCTTGCTATGCATGGGGACGAGGTCACCTATCATTGTCGGCAGCAACCTAAGTAGGCACCACATTTGAGCTGCTGATTGATGCATGGCGCCTTTAACCTTTTTTAGATCATCCTTACTAATTACAGAAGGTTTAGACCTCAGATGAGCTAAAAAAAGGGCTACCCGGTTGGTCATGTCATCTTGCCCTAGTTCATCCCATTCATCCTCAACTTCCTCATCTCCCTGTACAGGCTCATTTTCAGCAAGCTGTATGTCAACAGGCTGGGCTGGACCTTCAAGGGGATCATCGAGAGTATCACTTTGGTTTTCATGCTCCTTTAATAGGTGTCTTCTATAAGACCTTATAAAAGAAAATGTTCTACCACAACCAGTTTCACTACATTGGAAATATGTTGATGAATGGTTTACATGATGTACTGCACGTAAATGTTGAAAGAGAGTCTTGGCATCCCCTGGAATTTGCCTTTTGCATTTAAAGCAAATATATGCCATCTGCTCACAAATTTGAACAAATCCTCAGAATGAATATGCGTGTGTGGGGGAGGGGTGTAGCCTCTCACATCTGCAGTGATCTAACTATACTTACAAGTCCTCTACATTTTTTGAGGAACTTAAGCCTGGGGCCAGCTTTTGGAATCAATTGGCTGATGGTCCCCTCGTCTAAAAGAAGAAAACTCTCCTCGTCAATTCCCTCGTCTGAAAAACAAAAAACAAGGACATCTATTTAAACCATGGAGAACAGCAAAAAATAAGAGGCTAATTACATGGAAGCTATTGGAATAAAAATGCATTTTCAGTAACATAAAATACAATGCAGTCAATGCCATTTCAAATAATTCCTTTACCTAGCTATACAGACCATCTGCTTGCTGTGAACCTAAAAAAAAACATGTTCTTACCTTTAAATCTATCAATAACGTCTGTCAACTGCCACTGTGTCAACGTGTCACACACAAAATCGTCCATTGATCTGAGACAAAAAACACATAAAGAGCTTAATTAAAACAAAACATAAAATGTACATTTGCATGACTTCAACCTCACTTCTGGGGCTAATTTATTCAGTTGATGAGGCTACTAAAACTGACAAATGTCTGCTTCTCCTATTTATTTATTTGTATTACCTGTTGTATTTAGCACACATGAGCCCCACTTACTATGGTTATTAGCATTGTATTTTATCTGCAGACTTATGGTTATATCAAAGCCTTTATTTTTATATAGAGTGATACACTTTTGTGACTGCTAGAAACAGGTCAACCCACAATAGAGCAAGATTAGTTAACCAACTACGGACAGCAGCCACAGGAACTTTTGCAGTCACAAATTGCTGTGAAAAATTGAGAGACCAATGAAAGTTAAGTTACAGAGAACCTGCTTTTTTTTACACCAAACCTTATCAGTCCCCTTATCAGACAGAGAGTGCGACTACCGACACTGGCAGAGCGGCATCCGTCACGTAACATTAACTGCAGAGCGAAAACCACAGTGGCAGCTAGCTCCGCATGGCAGCTAGCTCCGCATGGCAGCTAGCTCCGCATGGCAGCTAGCTTGGCAGCTAATGTACGTGACGCAGCCGAATAACGGCGCAACATTCCTTTGTAAAAGGGGCTGATATTACTGACATATATAAGCGCCTGGGGTAGCACACTTTCCGTTTAACTTTCCCAGGGTAATGCTACCGTCCTTTAGTTTTCAATCCTGATATCCTATATTTGAACCATCTCCCTAACTGGCAGTTACACAGACTAGCTAGTTAACGACGTTAGCTTTAGCATGTTTGTCGGCTCATTCGGCTTTTTAAGTGAGATAAAAAATAACACTAAATAACAAATTAACTATCAACGTTACCACAATATCGCTCATGGACTAGCAGTTGATGACATTTATTAACAGCTTCACAGTTAGATGACAATGTGTTCTGCTTACCTCCTCCAACTTTCGCCAACGGTCTTTATTGTCTCAATGATCCTCTCTCGCGATGATGATGGTTAAGTTTACGGTTATGCCCAAATATCGCGAGTGCACACAGGATGCAGGGGAAACCCTTTCCCGCCAGATCGCGGTCAAAATCAAACCATGGCAGAGTTCTCTTAATACATCCATGGAAGTGTCCAAGAGCAGTCAATAATGTAGCATGCCTTATTGTTCAAGCCATGTTTGTTGTTTCACATCTTTACAACCGTGAACATTTAAAAGTAGATTGATTTTTGTCTCTGTTTACATTAGTTGGTATCATAGACTGTGGTTGGTATCCAGTTTATTGGTGGTTATACCGCCACCTTCTGCTCTGGAGTGGGAATCAGATATACCCTAATCCCTTTGTCTCAGTTTATCTCAACATGAATGAATCTAATACATGTGAAATGGTTGCGATTCATGCAAACCAATACCCAATACCATAGGCGGCGCCGGCGCGTGAGGCTCAGGTTTGGAAAGGCTTAATCACTTTTTTTACCTGACGCTGCCCGCCTCCGGCATCTATAGAAAAGAGATCAACTCAGTGTGCGGAGTTTAAATCTCTCAAGTCATATTACAGGATAAAGGAAATACAGTTTAAACTGCCGTATGCAGAGAAGACGCCGACGTGTCGCACTTATCATTCATATTACATCATCAATCAGATCATCGATCATATAATATTATAATATATCATATATTTCCTTATCTGAGTCAGCTTCTCCAGCCATATCTGGCCGTGCAACACTTACAGTGTCACATACTGTATGCAGAAGTATTATTTTAAGCAATACATTATGTTCACGAAACACTCGAGTCAAATGTAATTAAAGTCAGATCTGGTGAGAGAAACCCTGGCTTGATTTACCGAGTTGATAACCAGCGTCGTAGGACCGCTTAGCGAGATCTCGTTTGTTTGTTTGTTACTCAAACATATCCAGGGTATGTTGAACTGGCTTCGTAGTACAGGGCTAGCGGGTGGCTAGCAGCGCTAATGTCAAAGACACAGACATTATACATTAGCCTATATTTGTATTTTACCAGGATGCAGTGACACAAATATTTGGGAAGGCTTAGCCTTCCCTAGCCGCTACAGCACCCGCCGCCCCTGCCCTATACCATATAAATAACCCAGAATGAGTTAAACATTTCATAACCAAATGGTTGGGTAGACAAAAATATTTTGACCCAGTACTTGGGTTGCACAAAAATAACCCAATACCATATTAATAACCCAGAATGGGTTAAACATTTCATAACCCCATGGTTGGGTAGATGAAATAACCCACTGTTTTTTAGAGTGTGTGTGTGTGTGTGTGTGTGTGTGTGTGTGTGTGTGTGTGTGTGTGTGTGTGTGTGTGTGTGTGTGTGTGTGTGTGTGTGTGTGTGTGTGTGTGTGTGTGATGGATCGTTGGAGCTATGTGCAACTCAAGGCATATGCTCGAACGGGAGCTGCCTGGACGCTGCAATCATGTTGCGCACTATCCGTGCTGAGTGTGCTGACTTTTCGTACAATGTCCCACTGTCTGGCTTCCTGCATAAAGTCAAGTGCTCGGCGCAGTTGTGGCGAAATGTCGCTCCTCTGTTTTCATTTAAACAGCTCCATATCCGTTAGCGCAGCTAGCTAGCACCAGATGCTAACAACAACAATACACGTAATGTCTCTCTCTCGCTCGCTCGGGCGACACATACACACACCCTCCCGGTCCTCCCAACAGCCAGTCGGTGCCTGCCGGTGAGCGTGGAAGTGTGGTCTGCCACAAGCGGGCGACAGGAGCGGGGCTGTCAGCATCAGCTTGTAGATGGTATTTTAAACTCGATGCGCTCTGAAACTACGGGGCGGCCGAGGACAAAAAATACACATGCGTTAATCGCGTTAAAATAATTAGTGGCGTTAATTTTTTGTTATTAACGCGTTAACTTGACAGCCCTACTTATAACGCTTTTACAGTTATATAATAATAGCCCTATTCCAAAAGCAAGTCTCTAACAAATTCCCAGCAATTATAATAACTAAAAGACATTAAAATAAATACAATGGCTTTGCTACAAAGTATACTCTGATAGTACCACTCCCATATAACTAATTACTGTAAATGGCTCCTCTATCTGATGATCCTGAAATGTCCTCACTGTTTGTTTGTTTGTCTTTGAAATGAGTAGTCCACAGCACAAGTTCTTCTCAACAGGGTGACTAAGCTCAGCAAAAGAATAGCCAACTACATCCTGTCATGGAGGGGCTGTTGCTAATTGTTTCCCGGAGAATGGTGGCACGCCAGACAGCCAGACCTAATTAAGAGTTTTCAAACAATCCAATCTGCCAGACAAGATTCTTCAAACCTATTCTGAGCGGAGGCACACAATGACTTTGCAATGAACTGTACAGTCATACACTTGATTGAATGTTACCTACTGTTGCATAATGGCCTGATAGTGAAGGTTGGCAAGTATTTCCGTAATGAATATGTGCTGTTGAAACATCATTTGGTATCTCACATTTTTTAATTCAAAACCATCAAATTGTCACAATCCTAATGTCATGTCACGTTTTTAGTTTAGTCTGTCTTGTTTTGGGTGTTATGTTGCTGTTCTGTTCCCACCTGTGTCTGATTGTGCCTCATTGTGTTCACCTGTTGCCCATGTGTTTCTGCCTCCCCTGCCAGCTGTGTCTTGTCCTGTGATTACCATTCTGTGTATTTAGTCTTGGCTTCCCCTGTGCTCCATGTCTGTTCGTCATAATTTCATGTCCCTCTCACCCAGGCCCGGACTGGCCATCGGGAGGACCGGGAGGTTTCCTGATGGCCTGGCCTGTTAAGTGGTCTGCTGGCCTGAGGAATTTATTTTGGTTTGTATGTATGTGCGCACCGGTTACGTGTATTGTTGTTGTTAGCATCTGGTGCTAGCTAGCGGCGCTAACGGATATAATGAGCTGTCAACAAGGTGGAGGAGAGTCCTCTCCAGTCAGACTGAGAGACTGATAACTACAGCTCAGGTGAGATAAAGGACTCTGAGTGTTTAGATAGTTAACTTAGTCTAAGATCTCTGTGGGTCTCAAACGGTTTGGTCACCATTTATGTAAACACATATTTCCATTTGAAGGGGGAGTGATTAGTAAAATATGCATGAAAAATAAAAATAAAATGTTAACTAGGTGAAAAAAGGTAAGATAAACTTTTAAAACGTATTGAGAGCTAAAACTAGTCTTTGCTGCTGCCTCAAAGAGGAGCAGGGGGAGACGGGTGATGCTGGTTCAGGAGCACAGACACACTCACAACTATAAATGAACCAAAAACAAATAAATAAACAAGTTTAAATGTTTTTCATATTAGATATGGTATGTTATTGGTTATGGCCATGTTCTTATGATTTTATGATTATTTAAATGTATACAGTTCTGTTTCATATTGGTGTAGTCTCTTTATTTCCCCCTCAAAGTGCAGAAAAAGTGCACCAGATTGATGCATTGCATACATTTAAGTCCAACATTTAAAAATAAATCTTACCGGGGGGGGCATGCCCTCGGACCCCCATAGAGGATTTGAGGTCCACCTCCACTTAAAATATTTTCACATGGATAGGTTCCTAACAGTGACGTGCGGTGAGGTTCATGGCTGGTGAGGCACTGACTCTTTCAGAGTCAGATTTACAAATATTATATTTTGACCTTGATCGAAATGTTCGGTTATTTTCAAAAGCTTTTTTAGTCTGATGCTCCGATTCCTTTTAAACAGACTGTTCAACAAAAGGATACCCAACATCTAAATATTGGATTGTTCTTTCTTAGTAAGATCCCATGATCATTACAATTGTGGTCTTACCTTGACTTGAAGATGAAGTCCATGCTATCCTTCTGGACAACAATCTCCATTACATTTTTGTAAAAGTCCTCCTTATCTTCCTCTAGTTTCAAAAGTCTAGCTTGTTGTTTGCGTCTGGGTAGAATAACAGTAGCAACAAGAACCTGTGGGCTCACGTGCGCCCCCTTCAGTGCGGCAGAGGTTATGGCTGCCTCTCCTGGTGCTTTTTTCATTGCCGTTGTATGATGAGACCAGCGAGCCTAAATATCATATACGTGAAATAAGTTATTTAGAGACTATGGATGGCGAGGATAAATGTAATAAAGGGATCTACAAACATTACATTGGTGACATACAGTGAGATGGTGCAGGCATGCGCTTAGGGCCCGCTTTCCAGCCAGTTTCTGTGGGGTGACGCATTCTGAGGTGAGGCAGAGCTCATCTGTGCCTCACCTCACCCCACAGTAACTGGCTTGAGCGCGCTCACAAAATAAGTGCCCACGCTACATTAGTGCCCGCGCTCCAGCAAGTTACTGTGGGCTTACGAGAGGCAGAGCTCGTCCCTGACTCACTCCTCATCGCTCCCATGTAGTTGTAGCGGAGCTCGGCCAATTTGCTGATTTTGACTATAAAAAGCGATTGGAATCATACATAAATCACGCTTACAACACAGATCAGTGGAGACATGTTATTATTATTAATATTTAGTTTTTCTTTAGTTGTTTTTCCGTTACATTGGAGTATGACAGGTGAGGCTCTGCCTCCCCTGCATCCCCTGACTGCATGTCGCTGGTTCCTAAATAGATTTGCAAAAAAAATTTAAATAGTAACCCATGTCCATATGTTTATTCTGGGGTAGTAGATTGGGCTATCACTATGGGCAGCAACGCTGTAAATATTGACAAATAAATCCAGGAAAATGGCACAAAAGAAAACTGGTAGTGGCCTGGCTGGGTGTATAATTCCCGGCCTGACTTATTGTCCCAGTCCAGCCCTGCTGTTACCTATGCTTGTCCGTGTCTCCTGCCTTTTCCCGTCTGTAAGTTTGTTCCTGTCTGTCGTGCTCCCCGGTTTTGTTTCTGTTAATTAGTTTCTTGTTTTTTCATGCCTTCGGCTTTTTGATAATAAAGCTCGCTTTTTGTTACCTTACCCTTTTTAGTCCTTTTTTTAAAACTGCACTTGGGTCCCATTTTCCACACACCCTGACAGTACGAACAGACCAATATGGACCCAGCAGTTTTCCCCCTCAAGAGTTGGATCCACGGTTGTGTACACTCTTGAGTATATTTTTTACAAGTGGATGAGGGTGTCTTCTAGAGCGGCCAAGGAGGCTGCCCAGAAGGAGGCACGCATGGAGGTGACCAACAAACCCTGGCTCTGGAGCTTGTTGCCCGAGTGGCTTAAGGTTTTTACAACTAGCCCTGAGTGCCAGTCTCAAGCCTCAAACCCCTTCTTGGGATCCCGCCTTGCCTTAGGACAGGCCTATTCAAATGGCGGCCCGCGGGCCAGATGCGGCCCAGAACCAACTCCCGAGTGGCCCAGCCTCCCGTGGCCAAATGTCTACACTAGTACAGACCATGTACAACACTCCGCGTTGCCTAGAAACAACCAAACAACAACGACGCAGCGCATTTTTTAAAAGTACATCTAGTGGTCCTATGATAGCAACTCTAAAATATGTCTCTCTCAACTCTGAAGCGTAAACTTGACGATGAAAACC